TCTAAAGGTTTCGTATTAATCAGCAACACAAAAGAAGAAACAGGTGTGACAACTTAAGAAAAGTATGCTGACTTTATAATGACAATTTGTATTTCGTTCATATTGGTTATCACAGGAAATTCAAAGCTTTTTTAAGTTGGAGGTTTTGTTTCTTCTGTCTCGTCTTCATGTTGTTTTAACAGCTAGGTGTGAGGCAGCCACGTGACAATAACACGATTAGCTAAAGAAACACGAGGCTGAGCGAGTTGCTGAGAGTTATGTTTAGCATTAACGGTGGATTTTCATTCTTGGGAAAAGTACAGTAAATTTGCACATCTGCCTACTAAGAGCTCAGTTCAACTGCTGCACTGTATGTTTTTGAATTCTAACATATGTATTCATATTCAGTAATTACTCTGGCTGCCAAAAAATAAATAATTCTTACAATTTCTACATTGCCACATCACAACAGTCCCTTCAAAGCAGTTTATATTATAAAGTAGCTGCAGGAATTTCAAGGGTGCCGAGCCGGATCTCCAATTAACTGAGTCTGGCTTCTAAAGCAACAAACAGACTACAATTATTATTTTTATCATTACTACTAAAGGAGGCCGAGGATTAACTAAACATTTGCAACCCAGTATGCCAAAGTGTACAATAGCAGCCCATTCCCAGCTAGGGCTGTTCGATATAACGATATAAAAACGTCTATCGTTTCATTTTACGCTATCGTTTGTTTCGTGGTGTCGCAAAATAAACTGTTTACGGCAATATTTTTTCATCGTTTTCATGGTCACTGTAGTGGCTATATTAATTACTTAAAGTTCTCTTTTTCTCTTATATTTAATATAACCACACTACGGACGGACAAGCGCCTGTTTTTATGCGTTGTCGTTAGCAACAACGACGGTAAAACCATCGCGTGTCCGCTTGTTTATTTTCCACATAAACCTTTCACAATAAAGCTCAAGATCCTGTTGAGACTTTTCAAAATAAACTGAATGACGTGAAAGAGGATGCAGAGTGTTTACGGATGAAAAGCAACAAAGAGCCGTCAGGTGCTAAAAAATAAACCTTAGACTGCCGTGTAATAAATACTCACAAAGAAAATGGCAGCCGTTACAACTTATGTCTAAAAATTTATCATTTCATGCATCGGTTAAAACACTCGACTCCAGGTACACGTCACCCAGCTGGAAACACTTCACGCAAGTCGAGCTGCCTGAGATTCACAGAATTTATAGAAAATGTTACATTTTTGTGATTTATATAAGATAAGATAGAACTTTATTAATCCCTCGGGTGGGTTCCTCTAGGAAATTCGGTTTCCAATAGCACAGCACCGACAGAAGTTACAGAATGTGAGCAGAATACCATATATACACATATATAAATACAGAGACATATAAATAAAGAGTTTACAAAAGGGATAAATAGAATAAATAGGAATAAGAATACAAGGGAATTGGTTATTATTAACAAAAAGTATTGCACAGTGAAAAGGCACTACAGCTTAGTTGTAGTGCCTTCGTTATCGGGACGATAGATGTCTTATATCGGGATATGAGATTTTGGTCATAACACACAGCCCTATTCCCAGCCCACTCCTGAGGCGTAATATACCGACGGTTTGTCAAGTCCGGTCACCTTTCGTGCCGGGTTATGGATGAAATCCAGTAGAATGATCCTCCCGCGGTAATACACGTTCCAGCCCTGTATTCCGCCATAACCATAACCTTATCCCTAACGTTAACCACAACTTTAATGAAGTTAAATCGCTTTGGAAAACACTAGCTAAGTAAAATGAACGTACATGTGTAGATTGATTCCAAACGGTTCTCATTTTTCCGATCTCATAATATAGGAACATGTTGGGTTCCTGGAAGCGTAATATACCGACGATTTGTCACCTAGCGTAAAATGTTACGCTTTGGGAGTGAGAACGCGTTGACAATAGACCCCGTGTAATGCAGCAGTCCCCAACCTTTTTTGCACCACGGACCGGTTTATATCCGACAATATTTTTACGGACTGCCATTTAAGGTGCCATGGATAAATGCAACAAAATAAAACCAGTACCAGTACCCCCAAAAAAGAACATTTATTCATAACACTCGGGAAAAGACCCAGGGGAACGGAGTTAACAATAAAAACAATGAAACCCCCCCCATAAAAAACCCATCAATTTTACACCTGAACCTCAACCTTCGCGGCCCGGCACGAAAAGACTCACGGACCGGTACCGGTCCATGGCGCGGGGGTTGGGGACTGCTGGTGTAATGGACACAGATGAAGAAGTTGCAGTAACTTGCAGTACCAGCAGAGGGAGATATTTTATTTCAACCCAACATAAAAATAATTGTGGGACAGGATTTAAAGAGACATTAGTAACACTTTTACATGTAAATATACATTAGCCACCTGGCTTAATCGTTTCAGGCGTAGAACAATGTTGGAATGTACCTTATACCTTCCTTGGTCTCCCTGGTCTTCCTTAGCTTTAAATATATTGTCTCCCCGTGTTTGTACTGCAGTGAAGTGAAGATTACACTATGTAATAAGTCGTTAGCTAAAGGTTTGTGACTTATTTTGAGTTATTATCTCAAAATTTCAACTGAACTGAAAATTTCAAGTTATTTAAACTCCATTTTCAATTTCAAGTTTTCTCCTAAGTTTGAGTTGGTAAGCTGAAATTTTGAAAAAAGGAACTCAAAACTTTAAAGTTTGACTTATGAACAAGAAAAATACTTTTTTCAGTGATGGAAACGAGCTTCCGAATAGCAATCTCGACAATGACGGTTTGTGCTAGCATGTTAGCGCACAAAAGGCCATTTAAAGCCACATATCAGTGTTCTTGTTGGAGGTATGTTCAAGATTCATTGCCCTTTCAGTTCTGCTTTGGTGAACACAAAAATCCTGTCTGGCACTTGCTTAATATTCCACTGTGTTAACTAGCTGGCTGCTAATACTCCTGGTTGGCTGTTTGGTGTGGGATTGGTGAACAGAGCTCTTGTTGAACTGTCCTCTGATAATATTGCTGAATCCTACCAGCATATTAACTAGCTAGCAACTTGTCTTTAGGCTGTTTGTGGACACGCAAGTTAGCAGCTAGCTAGTAAACATGATTTACTAGCTGTTTGGTGCTAGACACATAGCATGTAGCTGGATTATTATCAGTTTAGTTAAAATTACCCCACTGCTCTGAAAGGCAACAGTGCCAAGAAGAACACAGTAAATCCAAATAATAAGCTGAAAGACTAAAATGTTCTACGGAGCTGATTCTAAATAAAGGGCTGGGTTGTAATTCATGAAGAGTTAGCCACTTTCATAACCCATATGGCAGGGGTATTGAACTCCAGGCCTTGAGGGCCAGTGTCCTGCAGGTTTTAGCTATCACCCTAAGTCAACACACCTGAATCAAATGATTAGTTTATTACCAGGCTTCTGGAGAACTTCAAGACATGTCAAGGAGGTCATTTAGCCATTTAAATCAACTGTGTTGGATCAAGGACACACCTAAAACGTGCAGGACTCCGGCCCTCAAGGCCTCGAGTTTGACATCTGTGCCATATGGTCGTCAGACTTATGGTTTAAGTAAAAATATTAGGCCAACATAAAACGTCATGTTTAAGCATTAGACCTTTTATAAGTTCATCAAAATAGCCTGTCGCTCTTCTCACACTTACAATTCAGACTCCCCCAAGTGCAATTTAGTCTAGTTTTGAACTTAACTAAAGTTGTATTCATGTACTTACACTGAGAAAAATGAAACATGCCTCTAAATTCATCTAACCAAATACATAAGAAGAGACATAAATATGTGTGCCCAAAGCATTCTTCGTGAGAATAGAGGTTACTTACGTCAAAGAAGTAAAGAAAATCAAACAAATCATGAACAAACTTACAGATGAAAACCTAAACCAATGAAAAGCCTTTTTGTCTGACCTTCAATAGGACAACAGACCAACAAACACAACAAAGGCGCTTTAAATAATTACTGCACCTGACCTTTCTAACAAGATACAAAAGCAGGTAGGACAAAAACATGCAGATCTTTATTTGCCACACATCAAACAGCCTGCGTATGCGGCTCAGGCTGTTTTGTGTGTTCACATTAAGCTAAGACAGGAAGCCAGACAAATGCAATGTTCCAATATGAATTGAATCTTATTATTAAAGAGAGCAGCAGAGCATGTGATTGGGGGGTGAGGTGGGGTGGGGGTGTACAGACAGATAGACAGATTATTTATTATCCATGAAGAAGAGAGAGAGAGCTTGTAAACTGAGCTGTCTCAGTAAACAAGAGTTCTGGGTCAAAGTCTGAATGCACAACAAGGAGCGAGAGGGACGAGGAGAAACGTGAGAGGGACGGGAGCTTTTTGTCCTCTCCTCCAACGAGATCACATGACAGTTCAGGTTTTTAATCCAAACACACACACACAGAGACACACATTCCCATGCAAGTGGCTTCCAACATTATACTGGTGTCTTTATTGATTTGTTGTATTGTGGCCAGATGGCGGCTATCTCAGTGTGTGTGCTGTGTAAGTGACAGGACAGGACTGGCCTCAGGGACAAGGGTCAGAGCAGCATGATACAGCGAATGCGCGCGCACACACACGGAGTAACGCACAAAAGCAAGGCGAAATATCACAATGAGTGACTGCAAGGGGCTCAAATGCACCTGCATTTCTGAGAAGTGAGTGCATCCTTTGAAATCGTGTGGCTCACTCTTACTACAGGTGCAGTCTTCAAGGGAAGAAGCGGAAGGCCTAATCCCTCAGACACATATGGCATCCTCATTCATAAATCCAGTACAAAGCATGCAGGTATTAACAAGAGCAGCTCATGTAATCGAGAGCTATATTTGCTTTGCACACCATCCAAGAAAACTGCAGGTTTAGTAAAGGAGTATTGTTGTTTTAGGCGAGGCCAGTCAAAATAAAAGCAGGAGTAACATGTGCATGGTCCCAAGCAGGTGTAACACGAGAGCATCTCAGGAGAGGCGTCTGCATCCTTACCTCAGGGCGACGCGCACCGAGCTCTCATCCGGCCCGCTGCTGCTGCTCATGGTGGCACGGGAGGCTGGCCCGAAACAGCCCGCTTAAATATAGCTCAGTTTCGCTTTTTTTTCTCTTTTCCCTTTATCCTCTTAGACGGGAGAGCGTCGCGGTCTCCCTCCCTCCCTCCCTGCTCCTCTCAATAAAGCGCTTTCTATCTTGGGCTTCCACCGCGGCCGCCGCTTTCGCCTCACCTCGTCGCCGGCTTGGAAATAAACCCCATTTTAAAGGCTCAACCTATCCTATATGAATAGATTTGGATTCCATGTTCAGGGAAATGTGGCTAAGGATTCAGCCGTGGTCACCTCCTGGGAGGCATCGTCGCTTCCTCCGGCCCGGGTGGAGCGCGCTGTGTGAGTGTGGAGGAGCCGGGATCCGCCTGGCGTGTGATTGCCCTGGACGTAACCAAGCTCCTCCCCCCAGGAGAGCCATACCAATCCAGGCAGGGGGCAACCTCACACACCAGCAATAATAAAAGTAATAATAATAATAATAACACACTTGTGTCGACTGTCAGCTCAGTGAAACCGGCTTTATCGTGACATATCGCTAAAATCTTCAGAATATATGCATGGCCTGCAGTCCTTGAAACCCTAAACATGGCGATGTGAAGCGATTTTAAACTTCCACTTAATATAAACCTGGCCTCTTCTGTCTGTGTGTAATAATTAGATGACGTTATAGGGCACAAAATTTAACTTGGCCACGTTGCCATCTACTGGTGAATTCTTATTATTACACCCGTGAACTATAATTCTGAAGGTTTGTATTCAACAAAAATTGATCATGTATGTCAATATGGAGACTTTTCAAATCCTCTTTCAACTCTACTTCCACACACATTGACCTACAGACACCTTTTAAACTGTAAAATAAGCCAAGACATTGAACTATTC